TTATTGGTACCAGCGATGAGTTGACTGCTTAACACTTGGGACTTTGAGGTCAAGCAGTGGGCTGCCGTCAGTACCCAGTTTGCATTTAAAATGCTACCTGCGCAATAATGTACATCACTCTGTTGAAACGAAACAATATAAGGCGCGGACTCTGCCGCAGCTACAATACCCCCAACAACGCGTCCATACACTTGGGTTTCCGTTGAGGTAAAACCGAGAGCGTGTTGACAACAAAGTAGAATTGTAAAAAACACCGAACAGCGTAGTGCCATTATTAATACTTTGAAGTTATAAACGCAACTGTTCGTATATAGCTTGGTCAATGATATTTCTACTTTTTAAACGATAATAGGATATCTTATTTATAGTATTTAAATGTATATGTATTATACACGTATAATAGCAATAATTATCTATACGAATTCGTAGAATAACAATTTTTCCTTACTAAACGTACTGATCGATAATCGCTTCAATACAACTCAACTAAACTGTTTATTTCTGAATGGAGTAAATTTCTTATTTTCCCAGAAGAGCAAACGTTTATCTCTTTTTTGGATAGTCACAACATGTTCTTCGTTTGAACCCTGAAACGTTGTTTATTATTTTTATACTCTTGTAACATGTTGCTGCAGAGCACAATAGTTTTGAGTTTTGTCTGTCTGGCAGTCCGTCCGTGCAAGCTGAATCTTGAGTAAAAATTAATATATGTATCTCGATCTTCCTTCAAATGTTCCTTGGCAAAAATGTAAGGTGTTCTTAATATTAATGTAAGGTGTTCGAAATATGTATAAAAAACACTAAATTAAGATATAAAACTGTAATTAGGCAAGGGGATCGCAATGGCAAGGGGCACCTGTGGGCTAAAAATTTAAAAAAATTGGACGCGGCCCCGCCTGCTTCCATAGCAGTATATTTGGTGGAATGTAGATATTTCCTAAACAATTTAAATCACAATAACTAAATTCGCTCACGACAAATTCTTTTAGCACCCATATCGACACTGTAAAAATTGATGATGGTACTATAAAAAAGTACAAAGAATACGATAGGTTAAGTTAATCTGTTAGGTCGATCAGCCACGTATAGACAAGTTTGATTCTTTGCGATAACAGATGGAGTTCATTTGCTAAGTCGAAGAACGCGTATTTTAATATACTCTGTGGCTATCAATACCTCCTCCAGTGTATCATACCGTGGGGACCCCAGATGCCTACCGTGTAGTCTTAATAATGCGTGCACAAGAGATGCTGCAAGCCTGGAGCCCTGCTCTAAGCATTTCCTGCAGTCTTCCTGTACTGTCAGCTTCATCGTAGTGTTCAGTCTCTTCTATCGAGTGCCAATAGGAATTTTGTGTACTTCAGATAAATGACTTTTGCAGTTTTGAACGCAAGTAGCCGCTTCCATTGGGTGTTGATTTTCTTTATCATGTTTCTGTTGAGATCGTCGTATAGGTAATGCATGAGTTTCCCAATGGATTTTTCGAATGTAATCCGTTCACCAATCGCTCTGGAAATATCCGGAAATGCTTAAAGAGAGTATTCCCTTTATTTAAGAGCCCTTTCGATATTAAATACCAGTCTATGGAGTGCAATCTCTACTGATTTGCCCTTCGTATATGTGTGCTGCGCCTTGGACAAGCTTCTAGGAAGCTCTGCGGTCCTAATGTGCGCGTCAAAGACTTTCTCTAGCGTTTTCAGCAGGAAGGAATTTAAGCTTATAGGCCTAAACTCTTCAGAGTAGGTTGGGTTGTTCCTACCTGTCTTCGGTATGAAAACTACCCTAAACCCTCTCTATGAGTGTGGCACATAGCATAACTAGCAACAACATATGTTATTACACATTTTACAAGTCTTGTTTTTATAAGCGAACTAGTGCAATATAAAAACTCCTTTCAAGGTGGTCGCACGTCGATTTATTTCAAATAGATGGACCGCCGAGATAGCTGACACAGTAGGCATCTCAAAAGACTGCAAATAAAAATATGTCGACACGTTGGATGCAAGTTCAGTCCGTGTAGCAGGCTCAAAATTATTTCACAGCAATGTCTTGACCAGGTTTAATAGCAATCCCAAGAAGTTTTGCGTCATTTCACGACCGTCGACGAAACATATATCTATTGATGCATACCAGAGACCAAAGATAACTAACACTGAACTTCTGTTTCGCAGAAGAGGGCGAATACCCTACCAGCTAAAAAATTTATAGCTATCGTTTCCTTTTCCGTTCTAATCTACATCGACTAAATATTTGGACGAAGTAGATGGAAATTTGAGTCGTCGCCTCGGGACTTTTCAGATCTTTAAGAAACGTTTATTTTCGATGGGTTAAGAAGTGGAGCATCGCTAAGTCAAGCGTATCTAGCTAAACAGAAACTAAGTAAACCGCTATTGTTTCAAAATTATCGGTTTTTTTTTTGTATGCGTAATACTTACTTTTCACATTGTTAAAGAATATACGTATTGGTTTTGGTTTACTAAACACTAAACCGCCTTTTATTCATATTTATTTCACTTTGGTAATTTATTAAACTGTTTACAAATCAATGATCGTTCCAATATTTCATTTTTTTTGTTTGGTCGAAATCCATGAAATGAAATCTGACACCTGA